AGAAACTGGGACTTCGCCAAGTCTGGCGGGTGAGAGCAAATAATGACAAATGTTTCGACGCTTTTCGCTGATGCGCCACCGTCCTGGTTTATCACGGCCCCCGTTTACAGGTCGGGGGTGCGCCCGCGGGGGAAACGAGAAGGGGCGGGCCTTCCCAGAAGGCGGCGGGGCTTCTCAGAAACCCTCCAGCCTCCTGAGAGGTCCCGCCCCCTCTGACTTCCCCTTGTGCTCGCCGCCGAACAGGGGCCCTGAGCCACCCGCGGGGCGCGAGGATCATCGCGCGTCGCGCGCCTGGGCCAGAGCGGCTGCGCCCCTCTCCAACAAGGGGGCGGAGATGGCGCGAAGGTTCCGTGCATCGCTGAGCGCAGTGCGAGAAGTCGGGAGACACGCTATCTGCGTCCAGGGCATAGCGTGTCTCCGGGGTCGCCGCCGTAACACGTTCAGCAAGAGTTTCCGACCGTAGGTCCAGGGGAAACTGTATGGCGGATGTCTGCGCCTACGCTGCCCACTCTCGTTCGTCCTCGTCCTGGTTTGCTTTCTTCCTCGTTGCGGCTCAGCCTCACTGTTTCAAAGCAATGTGGTTTGACTCGCAGGGCCAGTTGAGGCGTGAGGTGGGCGTGGCTGGTCGGAGGTTGCGCTTCTCCCGGGGAAACAGGAAGCCATTCACTGGGAAAAAACATTCCCTCGGATGCCTGCGCCTGCCTCCGCGCCACAATTCGCCCGCTCGCCTCCCGGCGGCGCGCCGAAGGGGCCCCCGCGGGGGGATTCGAGACAGCGTGCTTTTCCCGGCCGGAGATCTTCCGCCTTACTCGGCCTCGCCCGCGGCGCTGCCGCGTCTCCTGGCAGGTCCTGGTGTGCCCGTTGCCTTCGTGTCGCTCAGGCTCGCTCGAGTGAGAGTTTGCCCCGGGGTGCGGGCCGCCGGCTCCGCCTGAGCGTCGGTCCTCGCGACTGTTCTGCGCCACGCACGGCGCGCACTCGAAGGCGAGTGCGCAGCTTCTGGCGCAGCCTTGCCGCTACGGAGTCCACCCTCAAGTCGGCGACGAGCGAGGGGGGGAGTGCGAAGGAGACAGCCTTCTCAGAAGGCCGCGGGACTTCTCAGAAGCCCTCGCGCCTTCTGAGAAGTTCTCGGGGACAGGCCTGAACAGGCCTGGCCCTCCTCACTTCCCCCCCGGGGTTCGCCGCCGATCAAGGGAACGTAAACATGGATCAAGGCGCGTGGACTAGCGGCGGGTCCGTTTCTTCACGTAATCGGCGCGATCCGTCGCCAGGTGAGGCGGCACAGGTCGTTTCTTGCGGGGGTACTTGTCCCGATCCGCGGGTCTGGCGCCCACGCGCCGCCAGATCCACGGATCCCGAATCCATGTTGGCGTGCGCCCGACACCCGGAGGTCCACCTTCAGTTGGGTCGGCTCTGGGCGGTCACGGCACGCGGGCTAGGCTGCTGGTGCAGCCCCGTGCACAGGGCCAGTTGGGGCCTGGGCCTTGCGGCGAGTGCGTCCTCTATGCCAAGGTTGGATCGTTCTTTGTTGACGCGCTCGCCGAGAAGGTGTAGGTCTAGGTCTCCCAAGTGTTTTTTTCCGAGTAATTTCTGAAGGTGTTTTGATTTCGTCCACTCTTTTCTTTTCGGCGCTGAATAGGATTGGTCCTAAAACCTCCTCCTCCCCCTCGACCTCTTGAGGCGTCAGTGAGTGAGTGAGTGAGTAAGTAAGTAAGTAAGCAAGTAAGCATGTAAGTGAGTGAGTGATTATGTAAGTAAGTAAGTATTACCAGTAGTCGTAGTCATAGTAGTCGTAGTAGTACTAGTAGTAGTAGTAGTAGTAGTAGTAGTAGTAGTAGTAGTAGTAGTAGTAGTAGTAGTAGTAGTAGTAGTAGTAGTAGTAGTAGTAGTAGTAGTAGTAGTAGTAGTAGTAGTAGTAGTAGTCGTAGTCGTCGTAGTAGTAGTAGTAGTAGTAGTAGTAGTAGTCGTAGTCGTAGTAGTAGTAGTAGTAGTAGTAGTAGTAGTAGTAGTAGTAGTAGTAGTAGTAGTAGTAGTAGTAGTAGTAGTAGTAGTAGTAGTAGTAGTAGTAGTAGTAGTAGTAGTAGTAGTAGTAGTAGTAGTAGTAGTAGTAGTAGTAGTAGTAGTAGTAGTAGTAGTAGTAGTAGTAGTAGTAGTAGTAGTAGTAGTAGTCAGTAGTAGTAGTAGCAGTAGCAGTAGCAGTAGCAGTAGCTAGTAGTAGCAGTAGCAGTAGCAGTAGCAGCAAAAGTAGTAGTAGCAGTAGTAGTAGTAGTAGTAAAAGTAGAAGTAGAAGTAGAAGTATAAGTATAACTGGAAGTATAAGTAGAAGTAGTAGTAGTAGTAGTAGTAGTAGTAGTAGTAGGTGGTCGTAGGTCGTAGGTCGTAGGTCGAAGGTCGTAGGTCGTAGGTCGTAGGTCGTAGGTCGTAGTAGTAGTAGTAGTAGTAGTAGTAGTAGTAGTAGTAGTAGTAGTAGTAGTAGTAGTAGCAGTAGCAGTAGTAGCAGTAGTAGTAGTAGTAGTAGTAGTGTAGTAGTAGCAGTAGTAGTAGTAGTAGTAGTAGTAGTAGTAGTAGTAGTAGTAGTAGTAGTAGTAGTAGTAGTAGTAGTAGTAGTAGTAGTAGTAGTAGTAGTAGTAGTAGTAGTAGTAGTAGTAGTAGTAGTAGTAGTAGTAGTAGTAGTAGTAGGAGTAGGAGTAGGAGTAGGAGTAGGAGTAGGAGTAGGAGTAGGAGTAGGAGTAGGAGTAGGAGTAGTGGCAGTACTGGTAGTACTGGTAGTGGTAGTGGTAGTCGTAGTCGTAGTCGTAGTCGTAGTAGTACTCGTAGTCGTATAAGAAGCAGTAGTCGTAGAAGGAGTAGTAGTAGTAGCTGTTGTAGTAGCAGTCGTCGTAGTCGTAGTCGTAGTCGTAGTCGTAGTCGTAGCTGTCGTCGTCGTTGTTGCGCGGCGAGTGACGCGGAACAAAAAGAAGTAGTTACCCCCTATTTGTGGGACACCGGTGCTTCAAGAAGACCACCGAATGAATAATGAGTTACTCTTTTTATTGGGCGTCTACAGACCTTCAGGGTTCTATGGGGTCGGCACATCGCCGATGAATTGGCACTGTGGCTCGATGTGGAGCCACGGGTTCTCCACGCCGATGCATCGCCGGCGTCGACGATGCATCGCCGATGTGTCGGCGATGCATTGAAGATGCTGCGCGATCCTCCGACCCTACCTACCCGGATGCCATCTAGGAGGCCTCCAAGAAGGTCTTTGGGCGGTTTGTGTGGCTTGGGTCAGAACTCTGCGTGGCGGATGTGCCCGTGCCGGCGCGCGAAGCTCCGGACGAAGCGGTGAGTGAAATCGTTTGGCTTTGCTGTTCTGATCCATTTGGTTTGTTTTGTTTCGTTCTCCCACTCTCAGCGCCGCGCACATTTGCCCTTTCATCAGCTTTTCGCATAGCTTTTCGCATATGTTGCCATCGCCTCAGCTAGCGCCACGCACACTCGTCTTCACGACTTGCAGCAGCCAAAGATGGAGGGTGGATCCTGATTAAGATTTGGATGCGCAGTGGATCTTTATTTCTCATAGCACGGATGTCATAGCCGTACATTACCCCAGTGCGACCCTACCTAGAAGTTGGAGCCATTAGAAAACCAACATTAGTTGCTATGCTATGCCATGCCATGCCATGCTATGATGCGCTATGCGATGCTATGCTATGCTATGTTGCGCTATGCTATGCTATGCTATGCTATAATATGCTATGCTATGCTATGTCATGATGCGCTGTGCTATGCTAAGCTATGCTATGTTATGCTATGCTAAGCTGCGCTATGCTATGCTATGCTATGCTATGCTATGCTATGCTGCGCTATGCTATGCTATGCTATGCTATGCTTGGCTATGTTATGCTATGCTATGCTAATGCAGCGCTGCGCTATGCTAAGCTAAGCTAAGCTAAGCTAACCCTCTAGGCAGAGCCAAGGTAGGGAATTTCACCCATCCGGTTCGGTCCGGCCATCGAGGCTAGCTCGGCATGTGTCGCACATTGTTTTTGATTTGCCTTTCCTTTGCTTTGCTTTTGCTTTTGCTTTGCTTTGCTCTGCGTTGCTTGTGTTTTGCTTTGCTGCCGCTGCTGTTGCTTTGCCTTTGCTTTGCTGCTGTGCTATGCTATGTTATGCTGCGCTGTGCTATGCTATGCTGTGCTGTGCTGCACTATGCTATGCTATACTATGCTACGTCATGTTTCGCTATGCTATGCTATGCTGGGCTATGCTATGATATGCTGTGCTGCGCTATGCTACGCTACGCTACGCTATGCTATGCTATGCTCTGCGATGCTAAAGCTCAGCGAAGCTAAGATGAAGGTAAGCTAAGCTAAGCTACACTTGAGCTAAGATGAAGCTAAGCTAAGCTCATATGAAATAAGCTAAGCTAAGATGAGATCAGCAACGCTAAGCTAAGGAGACGTAACTGCGGGAACCGCGGGGCGGATGCCGGGGGAACCGCCCGGGGCGCTTTGAATTGCCCGGCCTTTTAAGCTTACCGAGTAAGAACCCTTCTAGGCAGAGCCTAGGTAGGGAAACAGTTAGATTGGGGAAGGGCGGCTCTTATTCGAGATTGTGGTATGGCCAGAAATGGAATAGTCAGCAGCAGCTGCACGGTTAGAGGGCGGCCCTTTCATTGTCAAACATGCGGGTATCGTTGGACTCACTCTTGAATGTTGAGGGGATTTCTTCGAATTTTCTTAAAGCCAGGAAGAAGCCGGATGTGTGTGTAAAGGTTTTCGTTTGAACGGTGGTTCCCCAAAGTGAGAAGCAATGTTTATGGAAGTTTATGGAGTGTTTTGATGAGGGGACAAGGGAGGGGATGGTGTGTTGCAGCATTGTTCACGCACCCTCAATAGGCATGTTCATCTGGTCCTCATTCTCCCCCTCATCGTGTGCCTGCTGTTGCTGCTCCTCGTCCTCATCCCCCTCCTCCGCCTCCCCCTCCTCTGTCCTGCTCCCCCCTCCCCTCCCCTCCCCAGGTCAAGAGGGCCATGAAGGAGGTGATCGAGGCCCGAAAGCAACTAGAAGCGGATCTCGAACCAGTGCGGAGGATGTCCACTGCGGAGAAGGGGGGAGAATGAGCAGATGAGGAGGAGAAGGAGGAGAAGGAGGAGGAGGAAGAGGAGGAGGAGGTGCAGGAGGAGGAAGAGTAGGACGAGGATTATTATGGTATTCCACTTTCGCGGGTTTAGGTTTAGCTAACGGGTCATTCTTATGAGATGTGGGAGCCAAGAGTCACGGATACCTTTGGTCCGTTGCTTGGTTGGCTCAATGCTAATAGGCATATGCGCCATCTTGTTGCTGCCACAGTTGGTAGCGGAGCGCGGAGCGGGGCTAGCCATGGCCGGCGTGGGTGTCGGAGACTGCAGCTGGTGAGAGCCGGCAGCAGCTCGACGCTCCAGCCGCTGGGCTGGTTCCGCTTTACGAGACGGACAGAGTGGGATCCACGGCAGAAGCCAGAATGCTGGCAGACGACGAGGCGACGTACGCGGTGCTGGCCTCCGGGGGTGCTTCCGACGAGGGGATATCGCCAGGGTCAGAGTGGAGCGACGCCAGCTGCTCAACCGGCAGGGGACGGGCTGTCAGCCCAGGTGCAGGAGCTAGTGAAGAAGCTAATGCAAGACACTATCAGCGGGCAGGGAGCTGCTGGTGCTAGCGCAACACCGAGTAGAAGTGGTGGTGAGACGTATGGCGTTGAGGGCGTTGATTCATGAGTGAGTCCGACCCTTGGCAGGCGGGCCAGGCCAGAGGCGACGCCAAGTGGCATGGCGACGCTAAGTGGACGGCCACCGGCGACAAGGGCTGGGACGCCGACTGGACCGGCGGCGACGCCAAGTGGCGAGGCGACGCTGGCTGGGACACAGGCGGCGACCAGGACAGACCTGGCAGGCAGCCTCTACCCGGGGAGATTTCACCGGGCCGCCGGCGTGGCCACGCTGGACGCACTATCGCCAGTGGAAGTGGTCGGTGCAGCGTTTGGGGAAGGTCGGACAAGTTCCTCGAACTGTTCTGCAATCGAAGTTCGAAGACATGCCCGACGTCACTCTGAGCAGTCACCAGTTGCCGGAGGTAGTGCTGCAGAGAAAAGACTTCATGAGTTGCGAGCGTGAAGGGGATGAGCTACGACGGGTCGTTCGACGAGCGCTGTACCAAGGAGCGCGTGACAGCAAAGAGTCGTTGATTCAGTACGTGGCAACGCGCGATCTGCAGTTCTGGGAGGCTGAAGGCAACGACCTCTGGCTCTCAGAGAAGCTCAAGGACCTGATGCTCGAAGAGGGGGCCAGCTTGTCTGCCCAAGGACTGCAGAACATGAGGACGCTGACCCAGGGGAGCCTCGAGTACAGACAGGTTTCCTGGGCCCTGAGACAGATGGATGCCGACAGCATTGAACGTTGGATGTTTGGTAGGTCTTCGTCTCATCCGGTGATGGCCGCAGAAGTCGGTCCCGCCGGCGAGATTTCAGATCACGCTCCTCCTCCTCCTACTCCGCCCTTCGAGGTCTCAGAGTCAAAGCACGATGACTAGCAGGACGAAGCAGGGGCCGATGAGGATGAGTCCGAGGGCGAAGATTTGAACGAAGAGGTCGTATAGGCCATTTTGGCGGGTACCGAAGTTTTGGAGCTGTACGAGGGCGAAGAGGAGGTCTCCCTTCAGCTAGAGCAGAAAAAAGCGAACGTGGAAGCAAAACAAAGACTTCAAGAGGGCAGCCAAACATTACAGGGGACACTTCCGTGCGACCCGACCGTCCGGTGCTGAAGGTCGAGGCGGAGTTCGGGGGGCGCAGCAGAGGTTGACGCCTGGGCCGAGGCCGCGGGGGCGGCGACAGCTCGCGTCCAGAGAGGCGGGAGCACCTGTCATGGGAGCAGCTCATGAAGGCGACGCACTGCCAGAGGTGACTGCAGAAAGGACACCAGGCTCGAGAGCGACCCAACCCTCCAGCAGACAGCAGCCGGCGCAGGCCAGGCGAGTAGAAGAAGGGGCTCGCTGGCTACACCTCCGCGGGGTGCACCTCGACCGGCCAGCGTCTGCCAGTCGCAGCCTGCGGGCAGCTCGAGACCTTGAAAGAGAACCAGGAGGAGGTCAAAGCCGTCTTCCTCACGACGGCTGCCAACCAGTGGAAGCCAAGCATTCGGAAGGCCCTTGTGATGAGCCTAGGCAACCTGGTTGGGTTCTCTAGGCCTCCTGAGTGGGGTCTGAGCAGCTGGGGTCGGAGGATCGCACCGCATAGCCGATGCATCGGCGATGCGCCTCGATGCGGAGACTGATGTTCTCCATGCCGACGTCACCGATACATCGCCATCGTCGCCAGTGCATCGTTACTGCATCGCTGATGCGGCGCGATCCTCCGACCCCACCTGCTCCGACCCATCTAGGACGCCTCGAGGGTGACAGCCAGTTTGGGGATTAGGGCCAGTCTCCAAGGATTTCTCGGGCAATTGGGGCTTCCAGGGTCCCAAAGCCGTGCGGTGACGGACCGTGCGGTAAGGTCGTTCGGAATTTCCAGGGCACCGCTCAGTCTTTCACCGCACCGTCTTGGGAGGCCCAAAGTAAATACAGACGGCAATTGCCATCAGTTCTTGCCCAATGTGAACAAGACTCGTTGTCGCTGTCGCCGCGGGCGTTGTCTGTTTGCGACAAAGGGTCGCGTGCCCATCAGCGGCCGCTGTCAATTTTGAGAATTGTTCGTGCTCATCGTGCTCATGCTGCCCGTATCCATTCCTGGCGTACCAATGATCCTGCTTTTGTTGTTGAGTGGGCATCCGAGAGCGGGGAAAGGAAAAGTAGAGGGGTGCAGATATCAGCGCAAGGTCAAACATATCTCCTAGTGGTAATGGCCCCTCCTTCTCGTTTGTTTGAGTAGTCATATGATGTTTCTTATTGTTAGTCTCATCGTGATGAAGTTTGTTTGAATTGTTCTTCTTTCAACACAAACCCTGGCCACCACTCGTCCGCGCACATGCCTCGGGCCATGCTGCGCAGTCTCCCCTCGTCCTGGCCCTCCTCTCCAGCGCACGCGGGTGTTGCTCCGTGCTTCCCCCCTCCCGGCGCCCAGGAGCTTGACGCCCATTTGCGAGGGGTACGTCAAGCAGCGCGAGCGCCTTCTGGTCGGCCGCGACGGCCGACCCGCGCTGAAGGACGCACAGGGCCCAGAGGGGGAGGCATCGGCTGCTGTTTCTCCCCACGTTTCCATCGTATTTCTCCGTGTCCACCCTCGCGGTCCCCATCCTGCTGCTGTTCCTCCTCCTCCTCCTCCTCCTCCCCCTCCTCCTCCTCCCCCTCCTCCTCCTCCTCCTCCTCGTCCTCCTCCACCATGGCTCAACCCGTTTTGGCTTAAGCGGGGCCCCAGCGGCCACGCGCGCACTCGGGCCCCGTTTTGCTTGGTTCGCCCCAGGAGTGAGGCTTCGAAAACGTGCCTATACGACCGCCCTGCGGACGATAAGGAGGTTGGGGGGGATTGAGATCAAATGCCCACCCTGAGTGACCTTCCGTAGCCATTTTGGCTCAAGTTGCAATATCGGGGAGCCCCCGTCTCGAGTGTCGAGGCGGACCGCGCATGCGAGTGCAGCCCTGGAGAGGCCCACGGACAGGGACTGCCGCATTTCTTTTCTCAGTCACCCTTCTTCTACCCCGCATTTTGCTGAGTACCGTATCTCTCCTGAGGCTCTTTTCTTCATCGGCGCCATGGTCCGCAAAGGACATGTTCGCAGACAGGACAAATATGAAGAACGTGAGGATCGGCGCGCCCGTGGTGAGCGCCGCAATGATGATCATGCGAGGGATGGCTCTGTCTCGTCTCAGGGATCCCTTCGTCATGTCCTAGTTAAGCATCGCCACTCGGGCCGCAGCAGATCTGGTGACCCCTTGCCGTCGACGCCACGCAGCAGCTCAACAGAGCCTAAGATGGACACACTCATATGTAACATGGAAACGCTCTCACAGTTGGTCGCTGACCAGTCGGTGGACATGGGCACCATCGAAGAGGCCTGCAAGGTCTCCATTGATCGATGTGCTGCGCTTGCTGACCAGATGACCCTGCTTAGCCGCGAGTACAGCACTTGCCATCAAGAACTTCAAGCTTCGGTATCTTCCTCGCTGAATGCGCTCGACTACAGGATGGGCATTATGGAGGCGAACGGCAGTGTGGCAGCCATGGGGACTGCTGACCCTGCCCTTTCAGGCCAAGGTGAATGCGATTAGTGCTCCCTCTCCGTGCTCTTGGATCGTCAGCGTGCTTCGGAAGGCCACACTGCTGCTATGCAATCCACGCCGACGCCACCTCCGACACCGTCTCCTGGCCGCTCGTCGCAGTCGCAACAGAACGCCCAGGACCAGACGTGCAAGCTCGTGCTCCTCGACTTCCCGCGGCGCATGCTGGCGGGCGACCTCAAGATCATCGGCAACTCCTGCATCTCCACCTTTGCGCCCGCCCGTGCGGCGGCCAAGATCATCGTCCATGGCTTTGACATGTCGAAGAAAGTCACTCTCCACTTTGAGACCGCGCTGGAGGCATCAACGTTCCTGGACAATTTCAACCGCACGAATGGCTCCTGGAATGTAGCTGACCCGCTGCACCCAGGCGCACAGTTCACACTTCGGCTGCGCCGCGGCCTTGACTTCCAGGGCCGCCAGCTGTTTTTATCCTTCGGACGTGTCCGATGCTATTTGACGGATCTCATGCGGAACCGCGGATGCGAGGTCGGGAGCTCTGGGCTGGGGGGATGCGTCTACATCCTCCGTGGCCCGCACGACCCAGTGCCTGCGGTCAACATCTCAGTCTCCGACAGCGGAGCCGTCGAGACGGAGATTGTCCGCGACGCACTTTTAGAACTGGGCATCTCACAGCATGCAGCCGCACTTGAGGAGGCAGCCCAGGTTCAACTGCGCCGCCGCTTTCGGCGCTGAACCCGACCGGCCTGAATGCTTAGTCAGTTCCCCTCCTCCCCCTTCCCCCCCCTGACGGATATGTTAACGTCGCCGGCTTCCTCATGCCTGGGCCCTCTCTCACTGCGCACATGGAACTGCGAAGCGTTGATGGCATCGGTCCGCTCTCAGAACGCGCAGGCTTCCAAGAGGTGCTTCAAGTATTTCGGATTGTGCAAGAAATATGACATTGTAACTTCACAAGAGACACACGGTCACCGAGGTGACATAACAGAATTGGAGCGCGAGCTCCGCACGCGTAAATTTGGCTTCTCTTTTTTTCGAGGACTCCAACCGCGAGGGTGGCGTCATCACCGCTATCTCTTCTTCCTTGGCCCCCAGTTCCAGGACATTCGGCATCGTGCGATGGTCGCTGGCAGGATCCTCAAGAGTACCCTCGCAGGCTCCAGGGGCAACTTAAACATATGTAACGTTCATCTTGCCAACGCATGTGGTCCGATCTCTATGTTCACGGGTGTTCTTCGTCTGCTGCAGTCCGACTTTAACTCGCACATGCACGGCGGCAACGACATTCCCGCCCACTGCATTATCATGGGCGACTTTAACTTTGTTCTTGAAGAGGAAGGGAGGATTAAAGGAGATGGGAGTGGGTGGACACCGGGTGATGCTTCTCATGCCCGTTTATTCCACAAGTTTTTCCCGCGCGCCACGGAGACATTTCAATGCCAGGACACAAGACGGGGCAAACGGGGGAAAGCTGCCCATGCCACCTCCAGGATTGATCGCATTTATTCTTGCCTCCCCCCTGCCTTGCTTCGGGACATCACCACTCGGGCTGGGGTCCTGGGCCCCCTTCAAAGCTTTCATGGCCAGTGATCAGATTCGTGTTATGGCTACCCTTGAGCTTTTTTCCCCGTCCGCGCGGCGCCCTGTCATCTCTCCTTGGCTTGCTCCCTTACCAGAATTTCATTATGCCCTTGATGGGCTCCTGGATGAAATTCCGTCGATCTGGGGGCCTCTCTCAAAACTCCAAGTAGCCAAAGATTATTTCTTCGAGGCCGCTTCTGCAGCACGTGCTGCACCAGGAACTCGCCAAGCTGTTTCGCACCAAGACAAGCATCACTGGTCTCTTGCTGCTCTGCACGCCCTCCGCCTCGGGCATGAGCAGCGCCTTGTGCCACCCCCGACTCCGCGTTCACTTTAATGCTGATCTGTCTGCACGCGTGCGCCTTGACGGTCTGTGTCAACACGCCCAAGCGCTATATAGCACAATCCTGAAGGATGGGGGGCCTGGGGTTAACAAGTCCGAGCTCGACGCAGACCGAAAGCGCGATCTGATTGCCCTCAACCAACGTCGCAAGGAGCCCTGGGGCAAGTTTCGCAAGCGCACATACCTCTCAGCGGTCTATGACGACAACGGGGCCCCCCTCTCGTCCACCCAGGCCTCTGCAGTTGCCCTTCGCGATTATTGGCGCGGCGTCTTTAAGGCCCCCTCTGTGGACGCCGCGCTCTGGCACGAAATCAACCCGTTCATCCAGGTTCTCTCGGGGCCTCTAGATCGTGAGTGGCTTCTCCCTTACCCCGCTTGGTCTGGCTCTTGGCCAATGCTTTCACTGTCTCGCTGGTTGAGCACGCAGCACCGCCTGTCAGCAATGAACAAGCGTGCGCGCGCGGGCTCGACATGCTCGCGAATGTGATGCAGGCTGAATATTGGGGGATATCTCGGCACATGCGTGGGAATAAGTACTCGTCCCTCTTCCTTGCTGGTTTCTCCGCGGCCTTCCCCCCCTTGGCCGTCGTCTGGCTTGTCCGCGTTCTCCGCCACATGCAGATCCCTGAACACACCCTTCGTTTCTTTGAGCTGATGCACGAGAATAACACAGCGCGGATTATTAGTTCATCGCGTCGTTTTGATTGGATTGGTACCCATTCAGGAGTAAACCAAGGATGCCCAGCCCCTTTGCATCTCTTCGTTCTTGCCGTGGATCCTCTGCTCCGTTGGCTATCTTTCCGCTGTGCACTCAACATCAGCATCCATCTTGCCTGCGCGGGCGATTTGTTGTTCGGCCTGGTCAATACTCTTCGTGATCTCGGCCCTGTCCTATCGGCACTGATGCTCTTGGCGAAGATCGCCAACCTTCGCTTGAACTTTGCGAAGTGCCAGATTATCATATGTAGTGGCATGAACAAAGGCTTCCTGAAGGCCATTCTTGAAACTTTCGGCTCGCCGTTCCAGGATCTTATGGTTCGCTCTTGGGGGGTCTGTACCTGGGTATTCCTATTGGTCCCGAGGGTCGCCTTTCACGTCTGGGATGATATTGCTCCTCGTTTCCACCACCGTATTCGACATGCCCGTTGTTTGGGCTTTGGCCTGGCCCTTTCCGCCGTCTCTTTCAGGGCCATGTGTGTCTCGCTCCTCACGTTCAGGTTCCAGATGTACCCTCCCAGCCAGGCCATTACCAGGATCTTGAAAGAAGGCGTGCTGCTCCTGACGGTCGGCCCGAGGAATGCAATCTCGTATAACCTCGCCACAAAATTTAAGGAGATTGGTCTTTGTGCTGAATTCACGGACATGCATGCAGTGGCGAAGGCAGCTTGTACTCGGCAATTGCTCCGCTCGTCTACCTTCCCCCAGATTATTGCTGATCTTGGGTCTGCCCGTGACGATATTGAGCACATCCCATACCGCTGGCTCCGAGGCTGGCATCAGGACTCATTCATTTCGTATATGCGTGGTCTGTCCAACTGGCACTCTAGAATCTGTCCGAGTCCTAACCTTGATATCATGAGTAAATCCTCCAATCCAAGCTGTGCGCTCTGATCCGCAAGTATACCCCCACGGAGACGGCCAAATCTATCCCGCCCAGGCGCGCCCAGTATTATATCCAGAAGCTGGAGCCTCAATGATCTCCGACTTCCGCTTGAATGCGAAGAGCGTTGTGAAAGACATCTCGATGTATATTGGCGTTGCCCCACTAAGGTTACTTACTGCCCCTTTCAACACGAGTGCGAGATTTCACTGTCAGGCTGCCGGTTGTCTCTTTGATTGCGTTCCGCGATCCCCTGGGAAAGACCTGGACTCGATTGGCCACTATTGTACTTGCCCTGGGCTTCAGGGCCTCCTGAAATTCTGGCTGGGTCCCTATCTTGAATCTTCCTCTGGACCGATCCGTGGACCCAATGGCGAACGTCCGTGCTGGTTCTGTCTCCTCCTCCTCCTCTTCCGTGATCCTCCTCATGTCTGCCTTTTGCGTGCTGCATGTTGTGATGCTTTCCTAGCCGCCCACAATGTCCGTCGCCTCTCCTGCGCCGGCTCCCCTGCCGAGCACTTCGAGGCCCGACTGCGTGTCACCGCGCGGCGCCACCAGGTATTGTCCGAGGCGTGGTCTGGCCGCTCACCCGCCATTGTGCACAGACTTTCTCGTCGTCCTCCTTCTCCTCCTCCTCCCTCGACTGTCGAGCAAGTTACGGAGGCGCTGCCGTCCAGGATGCCTGACACCCCTCGCGGCTGATGGGTGCCTCATGAGTAATTCCCCCCGTCCCGCAATTGTCTGTTGGTGTGCTGCTCACTCTCTCTGGCGACTGACATGGAATCAAAATGTTGCCAAGTTTACTGCGCGAGGTCGCCCTCGCCCAAACGATCGACAAGTAACCTAAAAAACTCTGCGTGAATTGGGGTGGGAAAAAAACAAAAATGCCCACCCTGACTGACCTCCAGCCTGTCATCTTGATATCATATCACTCTTTCTCTCTGTCTCTGTTTCTCTCTCTCTCTCTCTCTGTCTCTTTCTCTCTCTCTCTCTCGCCCTCTCTCTCTTTCTCTCTCCCTCTCTATCACAGTCTTCCTCCACCGCAATGATCTATGACGATGAGATCCCACTATCTACCGATCCGTCGACCGACCTATCGGTGAACCTTACTGTCGATCTCACGATTGGATTGGCCCGCCGCAGGCGCAGAAACACATGAATTGATGGATTGGGTTGGATGGACTGGGTTGGGTGGGATAAGATAAGATGGGACAATATGGGTTGGATAATATAAGATGGATTGGATTGATCAAAATGGATTGGATAAGATAAGTTGGGTTGGAAAAGAAAGCCCGCCACAGGCGCCGACAAAAATGAATGTATGGTTTGGGTTAGGTGGATTGTATTGGATGGGGTAGGATGGATTGGATCATATAACATGGGTTGGATTGGAAGAAACGGATTGGATAATATAAGGTGGAATGGATTGGCCCGCCGCAAGCGCAAAAACAAATGAATGTATGGATTAGGTTGGATGGATTGGATAGGGTGGGATAATATATAATGGGGCAATATGGGTTGGATAAGATACGATGCATTGGATTTGACAAGATTGATTTGGTAAGATAAGCTGGATTAGAAAAGAAAACCCGCCGCAGGCGCCGACGAAAATGGATGATGAAATTAGCGACATGCGTTAGCGCCAGGACGCCGGGGACACCCGGGACACCGCCCGGCCCAACTGGGACACCTCCCAGCCGCCGGCGGACGGGAAACGGACTACACCCGGGACACCCGGGACACCGCCCAGCCCAATTGGGACACCTCCCGGCCATTGGCGGACGGGAAGCGGTCTTTCGCTCCTACTTCGGCCTAGCTACAGGAGGATCACGCGCAGCTTTTGCTCGCCCGCACGCACGATACGAATACGAAGCCGAAGCCGATTTCCCGGTGGGGGGTCTCCGTTCCACTGCGATCTCACCCCCAACCTCCGATTTCAAAGATTTGAGTACGGTGCGTCTCTCTCGTGCGATTTCTCGTTGGGTTTAGAGCCAGGGAGGATGTGACCGCAGAAACAGTATGTCGTATGCACTCATCCTGGCTGCAAAGGCTGGGTTCGGTGCTTGACTTCTGCTGCCCATCACTGCATGCAGTGCGGCGGTCGATTTTAGATTCCCGGAGTGTCAGGAGGTGCAGTTGGGGGCAGTGGCAGCCATGGCAGTGGTGCGAGTGGAGGTCGTGGGATTCCTCCACCCACCCTCCACGGCGCTGGCGGCGCGATTAATCCCGCGTGCCCGCGTTCCCACCAGACCGCAAGAAGAGTGACCTACATCTTGCCCCTGATGAAGACGCACCTGAGGTTCCCGAAGCAGACCCAGTGGCCTTGGCGCAGACACAGGTCACCTTCTGAAAGACTCTCGGAGTGCCTTTGGATTTCTTTCGGGAACGTCTTGGGGTCCTCTTGGGGCATCTTGGGTGTTTCTTGGCAGTCCTGGTGGCCCCTTGAGACATCTTGGGTGCCCCTGGGAGCCTCTTGGTGGAACCTTTTGGGGAGATCTTGGGAGCCTCTCTGGGGCATCGTGGGAGCCCCTTGCGGCCTCCTGGGCACCTCTTTGGGGGGCCGTTTTGGGGCCATTTTGGAGGAGATCGATCAACGGAGGGCGGCTCCTTACCCAGGGCCCCCCCAGGAGGCCCAAATGTGGCCCAAACTTGTTTTGGTAACATCAATGATGTGGCCTTCTCTCCGAGGCCTCTTTTGGCTTCTTCGGTGCTTCTGGGGGGCCTCTTGGAGCCTTCTGGGGGTCTCCTGGGAGCCTGTTAGAGGCATCTCGGGGACCTCTGAGGGGGCCTCTTGTGGCATCTTGGGCATCTCTTGGGGCCCTCTTGCTCGGGGGCCATCTTGGACGAGATCGATCAAAGGGGGGGCCGTAGTACATTAGGGTCCGTCCAAATGTGGCCAAGGCTCTTTTTGTAAAATGAATGATTTGGGCCTTCTCGCCTAGGCCAATGTGGGCGTCTTGGGTGCCTCTGGAGGGCCTCATGGAGCCTCTTGGGAGTCTCTTGGGAGCCTCTTGGGGGTGTAGCGAACCGTCGGTAGTCGGCCCGGCCGCATTTGTTATCCGAAATTATTTTGGGGATTCTACGGGAACTCGCTGCATCCAGAAACCCTCTTGAGAGCATTCTCTTAACTAAATCAATGTTACAGTTTCCCCGAAGCATCGCAACCGCTTCGACCCGATCGCAACGGGTTGTGTTCAGTCCGAAGTGGTCTACGGTCGGCCCGAAGTGGTTGCGATCCGCCCCTGTCGCGGAAGAAGGGAGGAACGGACAAGTGGGAAGGAGAAGGATGGAACACGACAGATATTGGCAGGGGGGGCAAGGAGCAGAACAACAAGCGGCAGAATCAGACGGGCGGGTCGGACGGGTCGGGTCGGGCGGGCGGGCCCAGACGGCGGGGTCGAGCGGGCGGGCCGCTGAAGCGTCAGTCGCGCATGGATCGCGAAGAACTCTCGAGCGATAGTGCGAGTCCCAAGTAGCCGTGACTTGCAAATATCCACCCCCCGCCCGCTTCGGCGAAACTATATCAAGTTCCACCCCTGGGAATGATGTCCCGCCCCCTGAACCTTCAGTACGAGATTCCCACCGAGTTCATAATAGGATCCCAACAAGAACCCAATCGGATTCTTCCAGGATTCCTGCAGTTTCCCAAGGATACCTCAAGATTCCTGAGGATTCCAGTGCTTCTGAGGATTCCTGAAGATTCCTGAGGTTTCCACAGTGATCCCTGA